ATCATTCAAGTTAACTTGAGTCAACTCGAATCAAGTTGAGTTTAAATCAAGTTGAGTTAAATATTTAACTTGACTTGAATTTAACTTAACTCACAAATAATCAAGTCAAAAAAACATAAACTCGACTCAGCTTATCTAACTCATGAATTAACTCGACTCATTCAAAACTCTACTCAGACTATTGTAAAGTAATGAGACTACACAACTATCTCAATTTAACGCTGTTCACATTTAATAAAATAAGATCCAACTTTATACTCACCTTCTATTTCTTCTTCATTATGACTTAATTCACATAATGGGTAGATGTAATTCCCGCATAATATCTTATTAGTAATCTCATAATAATCAAAATTTTCACTACATTCTATATTTAAATTAGAATATTGATCCAATATCTTTTTGCAGAAATAGGTGCGGTCATAGATTGGATTAGATTGACTGGAAGAAGATACATTTGCCGATGTACTTACTTCAACTGAATCCAAATATTTCTCTTGCATCTCTAATGCATTAGTTTGATTGGTTTTCAAAGTTTGAGAAGTGGGTGGAGTGCTTATTTTAATATCTGGTAATTTTTTTGGAACAGACCCTTGGCTATTCTCAAGTAGGACTTTAGATTTCATTTTTTCTATATCTTTGCATTCAGAGTATGAGTTAGGTTTTTTTATCTCTGTATCAGCATAGCAAGATTCACTGAAATAATCCAAAATAATTTGGATTTGAAACTTAGTAAACTTTGAAATAGAATCTATACTGTAAGATTTAATATTCTTAATTCTATCTACTCCTATTTTTTTGAACAGTTTGTAAATCTTTATGGCCCTTTGGGTTCTTTTATGTAAGATTTCCAGTGTTATTCCAGAAAAATGCTTTATTATATCCTGGAATAATTATTTCTTGTTGTCTGATCTGAAACGTTATTTCTGACAATAATTTCTTGAACACTTTCTTTAAACCTTTTCCCATATGAGTAGCGACATGAAATCTCTTTTTATTTAGCCTACGTAATATTCTTTTCTTCGATACTTATATTTAGAAATAAATGAACAAGCTCAACTTCTATTATTATATCAGTTGTAAGCTTCTGATTTTCATTAATAACTTAGACATCATCTTCATCTATCAACTTCGAAGACACTTCTTGTATAAAATCTTGAGTTACTATATAATCATGAGAAACTTTTGTATTCTTAAGTAGTACTTGAGCTTTTCCTGCTCTGCAAACACTCAATTTGGTTAATGATTGCGAATTGCTTATATTGGTTTTAGTTTCTGCAGAATCTTCTGCTGGGCTTGAGGTGATACAGTCAGACACTTTTAGCAGGGCATAGAGGAATTATTCTGAAAAATTGAGGACTCGTCCTGATCTTGGCTTGAATGTGTTGATTCACGCAAAAGTTTCTTCTTCTTATTGCATTACCTTATCCCATCACTGACACTTTTCTTTTGCATTGAGTCTAAGAATTCATCGGTCTTTCTATCGTCTTCATAAAGTGAAGGGTTTGCAGATATTGTTATCTCTAGTACCACATTACTTGTTTTGCAGTCAGACTTGTGATACTCAAGCTGAACTGCCATATAGTCAGATACATAAATAGCCCCACCTTTGCTAATTCTTTCTTGAAAGAAGAATCTCTAATGTCCTAGCTTTGCCATTTGACCTCCACATTATTATTCCTTAATTCTTCTACTTTAGCCTTAAGCTCAGCAATCTTAACATCATGCCTAGCATTTTCAATATTATGCCTAAT